TTCTGACCGCATGATACAATATCCGGACGATTCTTTTTTATTATTAGGTGATTTTAATATTTCGCACGCCCAATGGTCGACAACCGATAGTTCTCATCTCACATTGAACGCGAATAATGACCCCAAAGTCACCGCACTTTCTGATTTCATCTGTTTATCACACGTAAAACAATACAATAATTGTCCAAACGCCAATGGTCGCATACTGGATCTAGTTTTGAGTAACTGTGATTGTACGGGTCACGTACAAGATTTAGACGCTGAGTTTGCGCTCTACTTTACGTGAATCGACTGATTCACATAATCATAATAATCATAATCATAATCTTTATTGCATCAATGTTGTAGCACATAAGTTCTTACAAGCTAGTGTCAGTTCTCAACATTAGCCCTGAAAGGGCATTGCAAAAGCATAAAATTAAAACTTAATATATCCAATAAAGTTAAACTTTTATAAATGAAATACACGACGTCCTATTGAATATTAATTGAAAACATATTGAAAATTAATTTAAAGTTTAGAATTAGTCATTGGGTATAAAATTAGTCATTGGATATAAAGTTAGTCATTGGATATAAAAATTAGTCATTGGATATAAAATTAGTCATTGGAAATTAAATTTGAAATTAAAAACTAAATCTCTTACATTCTACTTAATTTCTAAAAATTCTCTGATGTCATAACAGCATTTTTCTAAAAGGAACTCTTTTAACTTTTTGTAAAATATTACATCTTTTTCTACATTTTTTATTTCAGTTGGTATCTTATTATATATTTTTATTGACATATGGTATGTTCCTGAACTAACTATTTGTAACCTGGTGAAAGGTAATATCAATCGATTTCTGTCTCTTAAACTACGCGTTTGAAAGTCTAGAGTTTGCTGATATAAATGTTTGTTTTTACGTACTAATTTACACATTTCAAACACATAAATGGAAGCAACAGTCAAAATCTTGCATTTAATGAAATAAGGTCTACAACTTTCCTTATCTGTAATATTTACCAATATACGAATGCATCGTTTTTGTAACACAAACAACTTATTTACCTCAGTACTGTTTCCCCACAAAATAATACCGTAGCTCAGCCAAGCATTAGCATATGCATAATAGGCGATCTTTGCTGTTTTTAGATCTGTGCATTTTTTTAATTCATATAGAGCGTAGGTGAATTTAGATAGTTTTGATGCTACTTTTTCAATGTGGGGTTTCCAACTTATGCCTGAGTCTATCTCAACTCCCAACAGCGTACAAGAAGGGGTAAAGTCAATGGTAATATTTTGAAACGAGAATTTTGTTTTTAATGGAGTTTTTTGTATTGGTTTAAATTGCATTAATTTTGTTTTTAATAAATTCATTTCTAAATTGTTATCTTTTAACCAATCTAATATTTTACTTAGGCTATAGTTAAGCTGTTCCTGTAAATCTTCCCTATTTCGACATGGAAATACAATCGATATGTCATCAGCATATATTACACATTTTCCCCTTATACATCTTGTTATATCATTAATATAGATTATGAAGAGAATACACCCAAGAACGCTACCTTGGGGAATTGAACGTTTTACTCTTTCTTTTTTTGAATCTATGTTCCAAATTACATTATTTTGATGATCATAATAATCTACCCGTACAAATTGTTCCCTGTGCGTCAAGTAAGATTTCAACCAATCATATGCGTGACCCCGCACCCCCATTTCATACAGTTTCAATAGAAGAGTTTGATGACAGACCCGATCATAAGCTTTGCTCATGTCCAGCATCAATCCTACAGCATATTTCTTGTCATTTATTATATTTAAAATTTCATGTGTATAATCATAAAGGGCTGTTATGGTGGATCTACCTTTTCGGAAACCATGCTGACAGCCGTCAAAAACATCATATTTTCACAAAACGAAGTCAAACGTGATGCCATAGTGGATTCAAAAATTTTGGAGAATGTTGATAATAGTGCAATGGGTCTAAATTGTTGGGGTTCATTTGCATTTGTTTTTTTAGGTATAGGTTTTATAACGGCAACTTTTAGCATGTTAGGGAATGATGCTTCATGAAAAGACTGGTTTATTAAGTACGTTAAAGGTTCAGCAAGTTCTTCTTTACATTGTTTTATTAGTGTAGGCGGAAATTCGTCAACACCGAAACTTGTTTTGCTTTTTAGAGATTTTATAATTTTAAGGACTTCGAGAGAATTAACCGGACTCAAATATATAGTGTTGTTAACGAAAGCAGACATGGCACGCCCTCGAGGTTCTGTAATATTTTCGTTGTGTCCTACTGATAATAAATATTTATTAAGTTTATTTGCTATTAGATTAGGGTTAGTTACATCTTTTTTATTCAATTTTAACGTAATATTTTTATGCAATTTTTTATTAGGTTTGTTTGTCCTTTCTTTTATAATTTCCCACATTGATTTAGTTATATTCTTAGAATTTTTTATTCTCTCTATATACTCACACTTTTTTGATGCAACTACTGTATTCTTTAGTATTTTTACATATTTTTTGTAATACTCTTTTAGCACTGTACTATTTGTTTGTGATTTTAATATATGTAAATGTCTTTTATTTTTACTTGATTCCCTTATACCCTTAGTTAACCATGTTTTCTTTTTACGTTTTACTTTTATTTGTTTTTTTGGTATACAATAATTTAGTAGAGAAGTTAGCTGGTCATGAAATATTTTATAGTTTTTATTTATGTCATTATCATTTGAAAATAAATCACTCCATTTTATTTTACATTTTATTCACATTTTATTATAATTTAGTTGAGTTAATAACTCTGTCGCAATCGGTCACATAAGCATCCATATAATAACTTGTATTTAAACAAAAATAAAACTTTACGATTGTACGTCAACTCTATAACTTAACTAACTACAAACTACAACTAACTTAACTACCTACAATCAAAACGTCAAAGCCCATACATTTTGGTCCTTCGAGCCTTTAAGGATTTTCATCGTTTCGGGTTTCTATGTGACGTTAGCGAATCGGTGCGGTTGGCCTCCCACAAGCGGGTCTCACCGACTGCATTGAGAAGGCGCATATAACGTCATAGAGGATCGGGAGCCGTGAAAAAACGAGATTTGTGAAACTTCACGATCTTCAAGAACTAGTGAACCTACGGAGACACGTGCCAAAGGATTTCATTCAACTTTCAACTGTACATTTAACTTAAACTTTCTACTTATATACTACATTAAACAACAACTTAACTAACTATTAACTATAACTATGGCAACTGACGTCTCAGAACTTATTGCCAACCAGGAATCAATTTTCCTAGCACTGAAGCAAGTATGTGGAAACTACAGGAAAGACAGTCCCTCGAGGAAAACGCTGGAGTACCTGGAGGAACGTCTACATCTCCTTAACTCTAACTGGGAGAAGTTTGTGGGCTACCACATGAAATTAGTGAAAACAGGACTAACGGACATCCAATACTTCCGGGATGACGTATACGCGAAGATGAAAGCATCGTATGAAGAAGTGTTGCAAGACATGCTCCAACGAAAGGCGGTGTTGACTTCGAAAACTACAAGTAAGTCGGAAAAAACATCTACCTCTGAGCATACAACATCAACTACTTCGAAATTTAATTTTGAAGAAGTTAAATTCGACGTACCACCTTGCGAAACAACTGAAACTAAAGAAAGGCAGCAAGAAATGTTACGCCAACAATATTGTAATTTTAGAGCTTTCGAACGCACTGTGGAGAAAACTTATATAGAAAAAATCACGGAGAAATGGGAGCTTGAAGATGCCTTGAAAATTTTAAAAAACAAGTGGGAAAATATAGAAAAAATACACTGGGAACTAGATTACATACTACAAGATGATAATTCAACTTACAAGCTGAAATATGAAGCCTTAGAGAACGTCTACGATGTTTTACGTAAAGAATTAAACCACAAAATATGGAACAACTCACATTACCAACAATCTACGCCTAAGATTGTCATTCCCGACTTCTATGGGAACTACAATCAGTGGTTAACTTTCAAAGATCTTTTTATTGAGAGCGTACACAACAACCCTCTCCTTTCTAAAGCACAAAAAATGCAGCACCTGAAGTCTAAGCTCAAGGGTGAAGCTGAGAGAATAGTATCACATCTCGGAGTGAGCGCCGAAAACTATACTTCCTGTTGGGAACTACTTACGACTAGATACGACAACCGGAGTCTACTATTCAATTCTTATATGAACACTCTATTCAACCACCCCACTTTGCATGAGGAGAACGCCGTGGGCATTAGAAAACTCCATGACGTCATCAAGGAGTGCCTAAACGGATTACGTAACATTGGAGTCGACGTAGAGTCATGGGGACCCATAGTTGTATATTTCATGGGTCAAAAACTTGATCCCACCAGCTGCAGGGAATACAGGAAAGAACGTTACAATCCTAGAGGATTGCCGAACTTAGAAGAATTCACCCAATTTTTGGAAACGAAATTCATGTCTCTTGAATCAATGCAAGGCGACAAAATTCAAAAGTCATCATCTATGAATAAACAACAAACTAACTACAAGCTTCCAAGTAACAACGTCAAACAGCAGCATAATAATTACAAAAATAATTATTATTCTCCGAAAGGGTCAACAAAATATAACAATGCTAAAATAGAGACAAATTCTTATTTTACTATAGCACGAACGTGCCCACTCTGCAAAACTGATCAACATGTGCTAATGCAGTGTCAGAAATTTTTGAATATGACCCCAATTGGTCGTCGTAACACAATTAGAAATTTACAATTGTGTAAAAACTGTTTATTTAGTCACGGAAATAATATATGCACGTCTCAGAAAAAATGTAAACTTTGTAATAAGGGTCATCACACACTTATGCACGAGGCGGAAATTGAAAATCAAAACAATCACCAAAATTTTAACCAACCATCAACTTCGAGAATCAATGCCGTTAATAACGTAACGAACGAAGATAAAGAAGTTTTACTAACCACTGTACAGCTGCGAACAAAAACTATAGATGGAAGTTACATAACGCTGCGAGGACTACTTGACCAAGGCTCTCAAGTAAGCCTAATTACTGAAGATGCTGCACAGCGGCTCAGACTAAAGAGAACAAAACTAAGCGCAGTAGTATCCGGAATCGGGTCGCAATCCGGAAACTGTACGGGAGCTGTGAACTTAGAATGCAAGTCAATTCATTCCGACTACACGCTCAACATCGAAGCTTTGGTAATGAAAAAGCTTATAAATAACTTACCGAGCACTTCGTTTTCCATAGACAACTGGCAATACTTACAAAACTTAAAATTAGCTGACCCTAACTTCAACGTCTCGGGCCCGGTTGACCTACTGCTGGGTGCCGACCTTTACTCCGACATCATACTCGACGGCGTGATGAGAAGCGATAACTTACCTGTAGCACAACAAACGAAGATGGGATGGATAGTCAGTGGAAGCGTGAAGACGTTCAACTGCCTTGTAATATATAACGACCTGAAAAACATGTCTCGTTTCTGGGAATCGGAAGAGATAACTCCTAACTCAACCGATATAACTAATCAGGACTTCTGTGAACAGATGTATTCTGAAACTACAACTAGACTACCAAACGGAAACTACGTGGTTCAGATGCCTATGAAGCCAGGCTATGAACATGACTTACCAACTACGAGACCTCAGGCACTATCCCAGTTCATGCAACTTGAGCGAAAAATGGAGAAGAATAATGAATATAGCAGAGAGTACAATCGTTTCATGAATGAATACATTACAATGGGACACATGAAACCTATAACTGAACAAACAAAACAAAAACATCGTGTGTACTTACCTCACCACGGTGTACTTAGATCTGAGTCCACGACGACCAAACTACGGGCTGTCTTTAACGCCTCATACAAAACTAAAAACAACCGAAGTCTCAACGACCTAATGTACACCGGGCCTAATTTGCAGAATGATATGTTAACACTGCTGATCAACTGGCGAACTTTCAAATACGTTTTCACTGCGGACGTGGAGAAAATGTACAGACAGATTTGGCTTACTGAAAATCAACAACAGCTGCAAATGGTTTTCTGGAGAGGATCACGTACGGAACCTCTACAAGAATGGCAACTTTGTACTGTCACATACGGTACCAAGGCTGCACCCTACCTAGCGATGCGAACGTTGCATCAACTCAGTCAAGATGAAAAACATAACTATCCAAAGGCAGCAGAAGTCCTCAAAAACTATTTTTATATGGACGATTTAGTCTACGGACAAGACACAATTGAATCATCTGAACAACTAATAACCGAACTTATTGAATTACTTAAACAAGGAGGCTTCAACTTACGGAAGTGGAACAGCAACGAACCGACCATTTTAAAAAACTTACAAGATGATCAGCGCTGTAACAAAACGACAATCAACTTCACTCCTGAACAAACTTCAAACACAAAAACACTCGGAATGCGCTGGAACCCGGCCGCCGACACATTCACCTATAACTGGAATATACCTGCAAAAGAAAACTTAACTAAACGAAACTTACTCGCACAAATAAGCAAACTCTACGATCCACTCGGATGGCTCTCACCTACAACTATTAAAGCCAAGTTACTTTTCCAAAAGGTGTGGATGAGTGAAACGGAATGGGACGAAAAATTACCTGCTGAAATAACTAAGGAATGGGAGAACATGCGACAAGACCTACCCAACATAAACAAACTAACTATACCTAGATGGTTACATTGCATTAACAATGAACTTGAAATTCATGGATATTGTGACGCAAGTGAAAAAGCATACGCTTGTGTACTATACAGTCGGGTGAAATCCGAGAACGGCTGTTACATCACTACATTGATTACGGCCAAAACAAAGGTCGCTCCGCTTAGCAAGAAAGTCACATTGCCTCGAATGGAACTCTGTGGGGCTCTTTTACTAGCTAAGTTGATTGAAAAACTAAAATCCATATTAATTAGCAAACAACTACAAATCTACTGCTGGAGTGATTCAAAAGTGGTCCTGGCGTGGTTACAGGGCAACGTACAACGATGGGAACGCTACATCGCTAACAGAGTGACGCAGATAAATAACATTATTCCGTCATCACAGTGGCGCTACGTAAAATCGGAAGAAAACCCGGCAGACTGTGCCACTCGAGGTCTCACACCATCACAACTTTTAACATTCAACTTATGGTGGGAGGGACCACAATGGCTAAAAGCTGAAAACTTAGAAAAAGACGAATGTAAACATACCTACACTACAAGCGATGGAATAAAAACAAAGTGTTGTGTGACAAATAAACAACATAAATACGGAATCATACCTACACTACTAGACAGATACAGCGACTTGAAACGTGTAACACGAGTACTAGCGTGGATAGTGCGAGCTGGGCAAATATTTCGCAATTATAAAATGAATAAGGTTATTAATAACTTAACCGACCACGACGCTGAAAAAAGAGTTCTGTATTTATCTCCACAAGAACTAACTAATGCAACTGAACTTATAACTAAACACATTCAAGAAGAGCACTATAGTGAAGAGATTGATAGACTGAAGAAAAACATCCCTATATCAGCGAGGAGCAACTTATTGAAGCTGACGCCTTATCTCGACGATAAGGGTCTGTTGCGTGTAAAGGGTCGCTTCACTAACTCAACTTTGCCTACTGACTCCAAGCATCCGATCATCCTTCCCGCTACAGGAAGGTTGACGGAGCTTCTTATTCAAGAGGCGCACAATAACACTCTCCATGGCGGCGCACGTCTAACTTTAGCACAATTACGCTTACAGTTTTGGATTATAGGAGGAAACAGGACAGTCAAAAAACAACTAAGACAATGCGTGAAATGTCACCGTTACAAGCCACACCGTAATACACAACTGATGGCTGACTTGCCTAAGGAAAGAGTCACACCAGCGAGACCTTTCACTAACACTGGTGTGGACTTCACTGGCCATGTTGAAATAAAAATCAACAAAGGCAGAGGAGTAAAAACATGTAAGGCGTATATAGCAATTTTTATTTGTATGGTAACGAAAGCTGTGCACTTGGAACTTGTTTCTGACCTGACAACGCAAACGTTCCTGGCTGCTTTCAATAGAATGTGCGCGCGCAGAGGTACACCAAGAAATGTCTTTTCAGACAACGGCACGAACTTCGTAGGTGCCTCAAAACTGTTACAAGATGATTTTGAACGTTACAAAACTTTCCAAACTTCAGAATTCCACGATGAGATAAGCAACTTACGCATACAGTGGCACTTCAATGCGCCTCTGTGGCCAACAGCCGGCGGGCTCTGGGAAGCTGCTGTTAAAGCCATGAAGTACCATCTGAAGCGAGTCCTCGGCGAACAAAAACTTACCTTTCAGCAATTTATTACTTTATTAGCGCAGATAGAGGCCTGCATGAACTCGCGCCCCCTATGTCCACTCTCAGAAGACATTGAAGACCTGGAATACTTAACCCCAGGTCACTTTCTCATCGGTGGACCGCTGCTATCACTACCAGAGCAGGAAGAAAACTTCAACCAGTACGATTTGAGAAACAGATGGAGACTTGTCGAACAAATGAACACCCATATATGGAAACGATGGTCCAACGAGTATCTCCATCAACTCCAAGAACGCAGCAAGTGGCATCATCCTACAAAGAACTTAGAAGAAGGTAACGTCGTACTCGTGAAAGACGAAAACTTGCCACCAGGCCAATGGGCGCTCGGTAGGGTGACAGAACTTCATCCAGGAGCTGACGGCAATGTTCGGGTGGTCTCTATAAAAACTAAAAAAGGACACCTGAAACGCCCTGTTACGAAACTCGCCACGCTGCCGTACCAAAATGAACTACAAACTAACCTACAAACGAAGAAGAAGACAGAACAAATACCTACACCACAAAAAAGAAATACAGGAGAAGGAAAAACTATATACAGTTTATTCACTATACTACTTGTGATGTTAACTGTCAACGTGAAAACTACAAAATCATCTCAACTAGATAACTACAAACTAACGAACATTGAAAACAAACATCCGATATACTTCGATGAAGCTGGAAAGATGCAACTTATACACGACGAGTGGAATCTCTTAATCTACTACAATCTGACCTCCTACTGGCAAGCTGAAAACAAACTTAAAAACTACGTGGAACAAATTGACAACATTTGTCAAAAAATAACTTACACACCGTGCGACACCATGGTCAGTCATTTACGAGAAGAACTGCGTCATCTCTCCAAACGTGACAGTCTTTTGCTGTCCCAACACCTGGCACGGCATAAACGAGGTTACTTCGATGGCGTAGGAAAACTAGCACGAACACTTTTTGGCGTTCTGGACGAGGATTTCGCTAAAAAATATGAAATGGACATCGAAGCCTTGACCAAAAATGACAACTACTTACTACAACTCATAAAAAACCAAACTCTGATAATTGAAGCAGAAAACAATATTGTCAAAAAGAGTCAAAACTTTATGGAAGATCAATTTAGCATCATACATGACTACATGAACAAAACGTATAACGAAATTCAAAAGATTGAAAACCGCGTGCAAATGTTGTATGCGGTGAACGATGTTAACTCGGCCGTTATAACTACGACATTAATATTGAGCGCATTGCAACGAATACAAGAAACGCTGTTAAACGCATTGTCAGATATCTATAAAGGTCATTTAGACACGCACGTGTTTCCAACATCGCAATTAATAGATCAACTGAACATCATATCCGGAAAACTTCCGATGGGACTATCTCTACCAATTAAAGATACACATCAAGATATACAAGACATATACCAACTTATCTATGTGAAGGCTCGAGTTACAGAAAATTATTTGATGTTTGAACTTCATATTCCACTACTCAGTGAAGAAGAATATAAAATATACAGAATTATACCTATACCGTTCATGAGGCAAGGAAGCTTAAAACTAATACGCCCATCTTCGCAGTACATTGCTATCAACTTTGTGAAACACTCATACATAACTATGGACGAAAATAAAATGCAGCAATGCATTGCATACAGCAAAGAACAATATATTTGCGTGGCAAACCAACCTGTTTATAACATACACGACAAAAATGCGCCATGCGAAGCAAACGTATTCAATCAACAAACGTCACACTCATGTGTCATCGATGACGTAGAATGCAAAGAGACGTGGACAAAACTGCATAGACCGAACATATGGTTATTTACGTTATGCAACAAACAACTGATACGAGTCATATGCGAGGATCAAGTTACGTCCGTGGCCTTGTTAGGGACCGGACTTATATCTCTGAAGCCAAAGTGCATTCTACAAAAAACAGATGCAACTATTTATGCATTTAACCACTTTGGTAATCAAATACAGATGGGAGTGGATATAAATGTACCTACTATAAACTCCTCAATTAACAACTTGTTCAACTTCAACTGGAACAATGCTGAGTTAATTTTTATTTTTATTTTTTTTATTTATTTATTTATATTCAGGTTACTGAGACCCATAGATACATACCTTACAGACTAACATACATAACAATATAAAATAACACTAATTACTAATTTAACACGTATTTAGGTTGTCGGCGACGTGTGGCGCCATCTGGTGTCAGGCAACCGGCCACGGAATCGCCGGTATAGGACACCCTTCGGCCAGAACTCCTCCTTCATGAAGGTCGACAGATGTTCGGTCGGCACTCTCACCACAAACGAATTAAAGTTCACGTAGTGGCGGGACTCCAACCGCTCGACCCTCAGGGTGTATTTGGATTTCAACCTGATGTACTCCACTATCTCCTCAGACTTCGTGGAGTAATGCAGGCGTGACAGGTACAGCAGCGTTGTCGGGATTGCCGGACGCAGCAAAAAGTTGGACCCTGTCGGTGCAGTGCCGCACAGGTTACGGCTGGTGGGCTTCCTCTTCTTCTTCTCCACCTTTG